ACCAAGATAATAAACTTATGTATATTGCAACATTCACTTCTGAAGTTTGTACAACTTTCCCCTTGTTCTTCCCGGCTTTGTCCTTCAACTTTGGGCAGTCGATCTTCCAATGTCCCTTTTCTTTTGTAGGCTGTCTAAAAATCACTGCAGATAGTTGATTCTCATCAAACACCAATGATGAAAATTATAATTTGACGATTTCCAGAAGACTATAATTTGAAGACTTTCACGTGGATCGATGAAGGTTACAATCTGACGACCTTCGCAACAACTGATGAAAGCTCTAATCAACAGCCTTCACAATCAACATCGGGAGTTATAATCTGACGACTCTTACATTTTCAAGAAGTCAAGACAAAGATTATAAGATGACGATCTTTGCAACGTTGTAGCAAAAGAGACTACAAATCGGCAGTCTCTTCAAACCAAAACGCAGATATCTCTCAAACCGTAAGGAATTTGGCAAAACTGACAGAGCAAACTGAACCCTACGGGGTTGGTTTGGTTGGCTCCGTCTCGTCGAGATAGTCGATTTTTATATATAATTCGTCCAATTCTGACTTACGGTTTGAAAGTTATGACATGTTCTTCGCAGCAAGTTATGTTCTGAAGTCCGTCTGCAAGACTGGACTTCGTCTGAACATTGGACTTAGTCTGAAGTTCGCCAAGCCCGCCTAAAGCTCACCTCTATATTACAGATTCAAAACGCAGAGTTCGTGGACTTAAAATACAGAGTTCAACTCTGCGTCCAATGACAAAAATGCAGAGTTCATGTAGAGCCCAACTCTGTGTCCAACGACAAAAATGTAGAGTTCATGCAGAGCCCAATTCTGCGTCCAACGACAAAAAAACGCAGAGTTCATGTAGAGCCCAACTCTGCGTCCCAGGTCCAGAATGTAGAGTTCATCTCTGTGCAGCGCGACCTGTGCGTTTTTAGCCTAAAACAGGCCTAACTATGTGTTTCAGGTCTAAAACGCAGAGTTCAGGCCCAGAACGTTGTTTTTTAGCGTTTGACTCCTTCAAAGCACGAACTGAACGGTTTCAAAATTATTTTCCCCATGTGATTTGGGGAGCAGTTTAAGGGGGTGGTTACACCCCATTCAGCCCCACTTAGGAGCGAATTAAGGGGGTGATTACACCCCTTAATCCCTTATAAATAGGAGTAAAATCAACCGAGTTAGGGGCTGGACTCTTTGATGAGAAAGTCATAAAAAGGAGATCGGCCTTCATCCATCTTCAACTTTAGCAACAAGGAGCTTTGGAGATCAGCGACTTGAAGAAACTCTTGAATCATCTTGGAAGGTTTTTATTGAAGCCTTTGAGATTACTCGACTTGGCTTGTGAACTCTTTCTAAGAGTTCTTCTCAACTTGATCAGAGTTTAAAACTTGCTCTGCAAGTTCTTCTAAAACTCACTCTGAGTTATTAACTCGTTAAGAGTTATTTTCAAACTTGCCACGCAAGTTTTCCATAGCGTTAAATCGTAAGGAGAAGACCACGTTCCAGTGAAACAAGATATTTAGATCGTCAACGGAGAGCAAACTCGACGCGAGTATTTGAGGGAGGCACTCCATCGCCACCGTGAAGAACCCAGATCTAAACAAAGGGGAGAATTCAGATCAATTCTCCTCTCTTTTATAATTAGGAAATTCAATTGTAATCGAGATCGAGAGAATACAAATCAAATTTCTTTCATTATTTTTCTTATTACAAATTTTCCACTAAACATCTTTACAAAAACGATATTGATTTTTACCAACACTCTTATAACCACCTCTATTCTTCGATTTTGAACGGTTGACTTGACGGCAGTTTGAACTACGACCTCGAACTGCTAATGCATTTCTGATACCTTCTCGGAGAGTTCGCCATCACTCTTCCTCAACTCATAATTCACCAACGCTAAGGTCACCTCCTTATAACTAACAGTAGTTCTTTCATTGATCATAGTGAGAACAAATGTATCATAATCATCCTCCGGCAAAAAACACAATAGTAGCATTGTCTTATCTTCATCCTCAACCATGATATCTACATTGGCCATATTCGAAAGCAACTTTGTAAAGTTGTTGACATGCTCCCTAATGGAAACTCCCATCTTCATCTTAAACTGGTAAAACATCTTCTTCAAGTGAAGCCGATTTTTAATGCTCTTCGTAAGATATTTTTCATTGAGCGTTTCCCACAATCTCTTCGCCGACGTCTCGTTCATCACATCATAAATAAAATCCGACGTCAAGCACGACCGAATAACTCCACAAGCTCTACTGTTCATCTTCTTCCAAACATTGTCCTCTATGTCTTCAGGTTTCTCTTGTAACTCAAAAGTCTCCTCCAAATTCTGTGCATCCAGCGCATTCATCATCCGACACCTCCACAAATCAAAATTGATCTTACCATCAAACTTTGGAATATCAATCTTTGTATTATTGATGCTCAAACTCTGTATCGCCTTTGTAAGAGACGACCCTGATGTGCTTGCTTCTCCCATGTTGTAGATCTAACTCCAAATAAGAATCCTTCAGCGAATCTTTTGAACAAGCCCCAAGCCAAACCTGAAGCTCTGATACCACTTGTTGTGCGCAGCGGAACTTGAATCACACGAAAGTGCACAAACAAGAACGAGATAGATCACAACCAATAAGTAAAACACAATCATCACAGCAAGACAAACGAATTTTTACGTGGTTCGGTAAGTTGCCTACGTCCACGGGGCAAGGAGGGGAGAGTTTTTACTATTAGAGATAAAGAGAATTACAAATAGAGTTTCAAATCTCACCAAAACCCCTCAAACAAAGCTCTTTAGATCTCTCACAAATCCTCCCACAAAAGATGCACAATACTCTCTCAAAGGCTGCTCAAAAAACGTCCTTGCTTAACCCTAATTAATCAGAATTAGGATTATATATCAACACAAAACGAAATGGGTCAGAAAACCAACCCAGACTCAGACCCGACTAGCGTTCGATCGCCGAATTCATTGCAGTCGACCACCCAGAAATCGACAAAAATAAAAAACATTACATGGTTTGGCCGGTCGATCGCGGCGGTCAACCAAACCCTGATGGTCGACCGCGATGATCGACCGTCCTAACTCCATAAACCTGCTTCGACCTGTGCACATTTCCAATCGACCGCGGCTGATCTCGCGGTCGACCAGGAAGCTTCCAAATAGTTTTTCCTGAACTTCAAAGCTGTGTTAGCCATTTCTATAGTCCGACGGTGAGTAGTCATTAACTGGAGTTGCCAGCGAGTAATCGAGTGAGTGGGAACGTGGTGGGGTCGCCGGCGAGTACTCAGGTTTGTTTATGGAGGAAATTTTGGAGACCAATTCCTGGTTGGAATAGGAGATCAGCTCTTTCCTACAAGATTAAGGATCGGGTGAGCATAACTATTACTAATCCTATTACCATTAAGACTAGGATTAGGACTAATCTCTCCGAGTTATTAGGGACTGGGCAACACTTATTGAGCTTCTCGACTCGAACAGTCTGTGTTAAATAATTATAAAACTTTCTTAACGTTAAAGATGCATAATCTACCCAAGAGGATCTTGTTGAGTTGGTAAGTTGTCTATAAGTAGTGTTCTAATAGCTTAAGTTCGACTCTTCTGAGAAGTACCCACGGGAATTAATTTTATGAGGATGTTCGAAGTTGTATGTTAGGGGGGTGCCTCTTAGCCATGCCCCGGAGTTCGATATTTATAGTCTGAAGGATCGTAGGAAAATTCCCTCACCTAACTTAAAAAAAGCATAACTCTCACAAGGAGCTGACAATATAATTTAAGGCAAAACAAATTGACATTACGTAGTCGGGGATGTTAGATAATATAACGATCTAGACATGAATAATTGAACTAGAAATTCATATTAAAGTTACCGTTCACCGACGAAAATAATGAAAGTCTTCTCCTCTCTCTCTCTCTCCTCCCGTAGCCAATGATGGGAATTAGGTCTCTTTTCTGCATACAGTTAAGAGGAGGGACTCCCATCCTTTATATAGATATTTGTGATTAACCCTACCCATCATGGTTTAATCACAACCGTGGGATTATACTCCGGTCGATCATATCCTTTAGATATTTAAGATAACTACCCAACTTGATAAACATGAAATTGTCTAACCAGACCATGTGATTAGCATCCTGATCCTAACTTGAATCGATGGCAACTTTAAATCAAATCCAAAATCGAGTAGGTTAGGCCACATGGGTTCGTTGGATTAATCGAACCCAACAATCTCCACTTGGCACAACATACCTTATTTAAAATTTTAAAAACATTTAAATTTTTTTAAAACTTTTAAAGTCGGGTGCGCACCCATTTATTTTAGAAAACAACTTGTTGCCATGATTCTAATTAGAATAGTTTCTGAAACCTTTTCCTTAAAACAAAAACACCACTAATGGTTGATCGTGAAAGCACTATATGCTCTAATATGGCACAATGTCACTCCACGGTCTAACCGCTAGCATCGCTAATGTTCTAAAGACATTTTCCTTATGGTGGTTTTAGTGGAGTGTAATAGAGCCGTACATCCCTTATGGTCAACTCCAATGTACGCTCTTAAGTGTCCTCTACAACATACACAAACATGTATGTCATTCTGAAACTTTTACCGGCATCCGCCATGTGAAAACCATCACCTTTAGTCCAGAACGAAAGCCTGAAATATGATGCCCAATCACATTTAGCTTCAGCACAAATTTAAGAGTCTCTTTACTTTAACCTTTATGACTCTATGGACCACTATCTTTAATTCGAGTTTCTTTAGGATTAACTTAAAACTCTTTACTTTAAACTTTAGTTTTCTTTACTTTAAAAAATATATATCAAGCAACAATGACCAAAAACACAATGCTGCTAATATAAAAATCAGCACAATAGTTTCTTTATGAGCTCAAAGCAATCCAGAATATAGTACTTGAAAATAAAACAAAACTATCACGACAACTAAATCTCACTGATCATATAGAATCGAAGGACTCTAAAACACCCATACTGGATACATGTTCCTTGAAGAGCCCTGGAGAAATTCCCTTAGTCAAAGGATCAACAATCATCAACTGAGTCGGCAGATGAGGAACCTCAATCAATCCTTGTTCGACCTTATCAAGGACTAACAAGTACTTCACACCGATGTGCTTATTCCTGCTAGAAAAATTCTTGTTCTTTACAAACTGTACAACTGCCTAATTATCACAATACAACTTTACTAGTCTCTGAATGGAATCCACCACCTTTAGTTCACTGATGAAATTCTTGAGCCAAGAGGCATGCAATGTTGCTTCAAAAATAGCAACATACTCTGCCTCCATGGTGGATGTCGTCACTAAGGACTGCTTGACACTTTTCCAAGAAACTGCTCCTCCAGCGAGCAGAAATATATAACCTGATATTGATTTTCTGCTATCAGCACATCCTGCAAAATTTGAATCTGAATAACCGACGACTTCTAGATTTTTAGACCTTCTGTAGACCAACATGAAATCATTGGTCCTCTGCAAATACCACAAAACCTTCTTTACAGCTTTCCAATGAGCTACATCAGGATTTTATTGAAACCTGCCTAATATTCCCATGATATAACTGATGTCTGGCCTGATGCATGACACCACATACATTAGACTGCCAACTACAGAGACATACTCCTCAGAGTTCACGAGCTTACGCTCAACTTCATTTCATGGGCATTAAGATTTATTGAACATATCTCCTTTGACAACTGGGGCTTCACCTGGTGCACAAAACTTTATTCCATATCGCTGAAGGTTTTTTCTCAATATAAGCCCTCTGAGATAAGCCCAACAAGCCTTTACTTTGATCTCTATGGATCTTGATGCCCAAAACATAATGAGCATCTCCGAGGTCTTTCATATCAAAATGCCTCGATGGATCTTGATGCCCAAAACATAATGAGCATCTCCGAGGTCTTTCATATCAAAATGCCTCGAAAGAAAAACTTTAGTCTCATGTAGGAGATGAATATCGCTGCTGGCAAGCAATATATAATCTACATACAATACTAGAATGAGAAATCGGCTCCCACTGATTTTGAGGTATATGCAGCGATCGACAGGGTTTTCTCGGAAGCCATATAACTCATCATGTTGCGAGCAACATCTTGATAAGTACAATTTCTTCTTTCAGCTACTCCATTTTGTTGCGGAGAACTTGGGAGAGTGTACTGAGGAATAATGCCTTGTGACCATGATATGTATCGTCCTGATCGCTTTTACCATAGAATTCCCCACCTCGATCAGAACGTACATATTTAATCTTTCTTTCTAACTGTTTTTTTTTAACTTCAACTTGAAAGATCTTGAAAACATCCAGTGCCTCATATTTGTGGTGAAGACAAAAATATATAGGCATAGCGCAAAAAATTATCTATGAAGGAGATGAAGTATCGCTAACCACTATGAGAGAGAATGAGAAGGTCTACAAATATCTGTATGAATGAGGTCAAGGAGACTTTCACTCCTGGAGGCTTCAAATTTTCTCAATTTAGTCATCTTTCCCTTGATACAGTCAACACATATACCAAAATTAGAGAAATCTAACTTTTTAAGAACATCAGACTATACTAAGGATTCCAGTCACTTTCTTGAAGCATGTCCTAATCTCCAATGCCAAAGTATGGAAGAATTACTATTAAGCCTAGGACGTTTTGTACCAGAAGAAATGAATCCACAGACATACAGAGAGGGGAAGGAAAAGATGCATCCAAATTTAATCTATAAAGACCGTCAATTAAGAAACCATGTCTGATAACATCCAAACCATTTTGATAGAAACAAAACTATTCTCAAAAACAAAACTATAACCAGATTTAGAAAATTTAGAAACCGAAATAAAATTCATTCTCATAGGAGGTACATAGAAAGTGTCTGATAAAACTAAGGAAACTCCAAAATACAAGCGCAGACTGAAAGTCCCAATGAGCTCCACCTGCAAAGGCTGTGAGTTTCCCAAAAGTAGTTGCTCATTTGTCCTTGCCTTCCGACTGTGAATTATTCCCTCCCTTCTTCTTTAGCCACTGCTTATACTTCAGACAATCTCTCTTCATATGACCAGGTTTCTTGCAGAAGAAACATTTGTAGGCTGTCTAAAAATCACAATGGATAGTCGATCCCTATCAAGCCCTGATAATGAAAGTTACAATCAGACGACTTTCTGATCTTTGCATCCGCAATTCTGCAACCGCTATAGACACGGCCTCATCTCTGAGATGACTGATCTTGATGGCTGCGACAACAGCATGACTAATATGATATTAGCAACTATTAGAGATGCTGATGAGCAGTGTAGTGATTTCAGAAATCAAAGGTTGGACTTAGTTGGTGAGTTGCTTGGTAGAGAGCTATGGGCAAATATTCATCTTCAAAACACTATGGATGTTGATTCCCGTCAAGCTCTCACAACGAAAGCTACAATCAAATAGCTTTCGGGTCGACAATCGAAAGCGGTAAATAGAGGACCTTTCACGTAGATCGAGAAGAGTTACAATTCAACGACGCTTCCGACAACTGATGAAAGCTCTATTCTGTAGCCTTCGCAACCAACAGTGAGAGTTACAATTTGACGACTCTCATATCCTATAACAGGCAAGGATCAATAAACAATAGCCTTCGCAATGTTATAATGGATGAGGTTACAAGTCAACAACCTCTCTCAAACGCAGAAAGTTGTTACAATCTGACGACCTTCACAACAACTGATGAAAGCTCTAATTCAACAGCCTTCACAATCAACATCGGGAGTTACAAATTGACGACTCTCATATTATCAAGAGCTAAATGTAAGGATTACAATCTGACGATCCTCACAAAAGTTCAAAAATAAAAAAAAAAGATTATAATTGATAATCTCTTCAACGCGAAGGTCGCGTTTGACCATTTCAAATCCTTGAAACGGTCCTCCACTTAATAGGGCAACTAACCTCCATCATGGAGCTAATTAAGGGGGATAGTTATACCCCTTAAACTCCTACAAATAGGGGGTTTTCACAGCAAAATGGGGCGGGTTGATAGGTTGATCAATCGGTTTTCTGAGATCAAAACCGCAAAGAGTTGAGGGGAGCTGGTATCAAAACCACCCAAGGTCAACAAATCTCGGCAGTTGAGTAATCGGAAGGAAGAGATCTTCGGGAGATCAAGGAACTGATCAACGATCAGTTAATCAAATCCCGAAGGATCCTTTCATCAAAGGTATCATCCACTTGGCAATTAACCGAATTTTCGGTTCCAACAACTCTGTTATAGAGTTTTAACTCATTCTGAGTTCTTAAACTCGTTAAGAGTTCTTAATTAGCTTGCAACGCAAGTTAATCACATCAAACCAGACATTCGGTTTTCAACAACTCTTATCAGAGTTCTTAACTCGTTCAGAGTTCTTCAACACTCGTCAAGAGTTCTAAACCGAAGTCATCAAACACTTCAGTTATTCCAGTGAAGAAGGACGGTCGAATCGTCAACAGAGAGCAAGTTCGACGCGATCAATCAAAGGAAGCACTCCATCGCTACCAAGAAGAACCCAGTCTTAAACAAAGGAGAGAATCAAATCCATTCTCTCACTCACAGTGGCTGCTGCCTTTTCATGAGGGATATGGAGTAGTGCTTTCTGTATAAGTGGGACATCAAGGTCTGTCCACCTGTCGAGCCAGAATCTAACATCCCTACCACCTTTAATAGACCAAACCATATGATGTAGGCCCTTGTTCCAAATAGGGGCCAACTGCCTCCATGTATCCGAGTCCCCCTGTTTGGCAACAGCAAGACGCCTCCAGTCAGCCCGATGGCCATATTTTGCTTTCAGAACCTTCACCCACAAGCCCTCTGTTTCGTGTAAGCTCCTCTCAGCCCGATGGCCATATTTTGCTTTCAGAACCTTCACCCACAAGCCCTCTGTTTCGTGTAAGCTCCTCTAAGATAATTTAAGGAGACATGCCTCGTTCATGATGCTCAACTTTTTTATACCGAGTCCTCCCACTTGTTTCGGAGTACAAATCCGATTCCACCCTATAGGATGGAAACCTCTCTTATCTGGATCATGACCCCACATAAATGCCCTTTGTTTACGTTCAACAACATTGCATATCGCTACTGGAAGCTTATCCGTGTGCATGGTAAAAATAGGCATACTTGCCATGACAGACTTAATCAAGGTCACTCGTCCCGCCATAGATAAGCAGCTTGCTTTCCATCCCGCAAATTTGCGCGATATCTTTTCCAATAGATCATTATATCGCTGGACTTTTCTCCTCCCATTGGTAATATCAATACCCAGATATCTCCCTAAATCATTTGTTCTGGAGAACCCGCTATACAGAAGGATATTACTTGCCACAGCTTCATCAATGTTCTTTGAGAACATAATATTTGTCTTTTGTTTGTTGACTTTTTGCCCAGACGCTGTGCAAAAATTTTCCAGACATTGACATATACACTCCGCCTGATCCTTATTAGCTTCAGCAACAAGGATTAGATCATCTGCAAACATTAAATGTGAGATTAAAGGGCCCTTCTTGCCCAAAGGCATAGGCCTCCACTTATTGGCCTGCACACAATCCAGAATCATATGGGTGAGTTTTTCTAAACAGAGGACAAAAAGATAGGGTGAGAAGGGGTCACCCTGCCTTATACCCCTAGAGGGCTTGAAATCCGAAGAAGTATTACCATTCCACAAGACCGAAAGTCGCAAAGGTCGAACTCTGCGTTAAAGTTTCGAACGCACAGTTCAGATCTGGCGTTTAAAGTTCATCAACGCAAAGGTCGAACTCTGCGTTAAAGTTTCGAACGCACAGTTCAGATCTGGCGTTTAAAGTTCATCAACGCAAAGGTCGAACTCTGCGTTAAAGTTTCGAACGCACAGTTCAGATCTGGCGTTTAAAGTTCATCAACGCAAAGGTCGAACTCTGCGTTAAAGTTTCGAACGCACAGTTCAGATCTGGCGTTTAAAGTTCATCAACGCAAAGGTCGAACTCTGCGTTAAAGTTTCGAACGCACAGTTCAGATCTGGCGTTTAAAGTTCATCAACGCAAAGGTCGAACTCTGCGTTAAAGTTTCGAACGCACAGTTCAGATCTGGCGTTTAAAGTTCATCAACGCAAAGGTCGAACTCTGCGTTAAAGTTTCGAACGCACAGTTCAGATCTGGCGTTTAAAGTTCATCAACGCAAAGGTCGAACTCTGCGTTAAAGTTTCGAACGCACAGTTCAGATCTGGCGTTTAAAGTTCATCAACGCAAAGGTCGAACTCTGCGTTAAAGTTTCGAACGCACAGTTCAGATCTGGCGTTTAAAGTTCATCAACGCAAAGGTCGAACTCTGCGTTAAAGTTTCGAACGCACAGTTCAGATCTGGCGTTTAAAGTTCATCAACGCAAAGGTCGAACTCTGCGTTAAAGTTTCGAACGCACAGTTCAGATCTGGCGTTTAAAGTTCATCAACGCAAAGGTCGAACTCTGCGTTAAAGTTTCGAACGCACAGTTCAGATCTGGCGTTTAAAGTTCATCAACGCAAAGGTCGAACTCTGCGTTAAAGTTTCGAACGCACAGTTCAGATCTGGCGTTTAAAGTTCATCAACGCAAAGGTCGAACTCTGCGTTAAAGTTTCGAACGCACAGTTCAGATCTGGCGTTTAAAGTTCATCAACGCAAAGGTCGAACTCTGCGTTAAAGTTTCGAACGCACAGTTCAGATCTGGCGTTTAAAGTTCATCAACGCAAAGGTCGAACTCTGCGTTAAAGTTTCGAACGCACAGTTCAGATCTGGCGTTTAAAGTTCATCAACGCAAAGGTCGAACTCTGCGTTAAAGTTTCGAACGCACAGTTCAGATCTGGCGTTTAAAGTTCATCAACGCAAAGGTCGAACTCTGCGTTAAAGTTTCGAACGCACAGTTCAGATCTGGCGTTTAAAGTTCATCAACGCAAAGGTCGAACTCTGCGTTAAAGTTTCGAACGCACAGTTCAGATCTGGCGTTTAAAGTTCATCAACGCAAAGGTCGAACTCTGCGTTAAAGTTTCGAACGCACAGTTCAGATCTGGCGTTTAAAGTTCATCAACGCAAAGGTCGAACTCTGCGTTAAAGTTTCGAACGCACAGTTCAGATCTGGCGTTTAAAGTTCATCAACGCAAAGGTCGAACTCTGCGTTAAAGTTTCGAACGCACAGTTCAGATCTGGCGTTTAAAGTTCATCAACGCAAAGGTCGAACTCTGCGTTAAAGTTTCGAACGCACAGTTCAGATCTGGCGTTTAAAGTTCATCAACGCAAAGGTCGAACTCTGCGTTAAAGTTTCGAACGCACAGTTCAGATCTGGCGTTTAAAGTTCATCAACGCAAAGGTCGAACTCTGCGTTAAAGTTTCGAACGCACAGTTCAGATCTGGCGTTTAAAGTTCATCAACGCAAAGGTCGAACTCTGCGTTAAAGTTTCGAACGCACAGTTCAGATCTGGCGTTTAAAGTTCATCAACGCAAAGGTCGAACTCTGCGTTAAAGTTTCGAACGCACAGTTCAGATCTGGCGTTTAAAGTTCATCAACGCAAAGGTCGAACTCTGCGTTAAAGTTTCGAACGCACAGTTCAGATCTGGCGTTTAAAGTTCATCAACGCAAAGGTCGAACTCTGCGTTAAAGTTTCGAACGCACAGTTCAGATCTGGCGTTTAAAGTTCATCAACGCAAAGGTCGAACTCTGCGTTAAAGTTTCGAACGCACAGTTCAGATCTGGCGTTTAAAGTTCATCAACGCAAAGGTCGAACTCTGCGTTAAAGTTTCGAACGCACAGTTCAGATCTGGCGTTTAAAGTTCATCAACGCAAAGGTCGAACTCTGCGTTAAAGTTTCGAACGCACAGTTCAGATCTGGCGTTTAAAGTTCATCAACGCAAAGGTCGAACTCTGCGTTAAAGTTTCGAACGCACAGTTCAGATCTGGCGTTTAAAGTTCATCAACGCAAAGGTCGAACTCTGCGTTAAAGTTTCGAACGCACAGTTCAGATCTGGCGTTTAAAGTTCATCAACGCAAAGGTCGAACTCTGCGTTAAAGTTTCGAACGCACAGTTCAGATCTGGCGTTTAAAGTTCATCAACGCAAAGGTCGAACTCTGCGTTAAAGTTTCGAACGCACAGTTCAGATCTGGCGTTTAAAGTTCATCAACGCAAAGGTCGAACTCTGCGTTAAAGTTTCGAACGCACAGTTCAGATCTGGCGTTTAAAGTTCATCAACGCAAAGGTCGAACTCTGCGTTAAAGTTTCGAACGCACAGTTCAGATCTGGCGTTTAAAGTTCATCAACGCAAAGGTCGAACTCTGCGTTAAAGTTTCGAACGCACAGTTCAGATCTGGCGTTTAAAGTTCATCAACGCAAAGGTCGAACTCTGCGTTAAAGTTTCGAACGCACAGTTCAGATCTGGCGTTTAAAGTTCATCAACGCAAAGGTCGAACTCTGCGTTAAAGTTTCGAACGCACAGTTCAGATCTGGCGTTTAAAGTTCATCAACGCAAAGGTCGAACTCTGCGTTAAAGTTTCGAACGCACAGTTCAGATCTGGCGTTTAAAGTTCATCAACGCAAAGGTCGAACTCTGCGTTAAAGTTTCGAACGCACAGTTCAGATCTGGCGTTTAAAGTTCATCAACGCAAAGGTCGAACTCTGCGTTAAAGTTTCGAACGCACAGTTCAGATCTGGCGTTTAAAGTTCATCAACGCAAAGGTCGAACTCTGCGTTAAAGTTTCGAACGCACAGTTCAGATCTGGCGTTTAAAGTTCATCAACGCAAAGGTCGAACTCTGCGTTAAAGTTTCGAACGCACAGTTCAGATCTGGCGTTTAAAGTTCATCAACGCAAAGGTCGAACTCTGCGTTAAAGTTTCGAACGCACAGTTCAGATCTGGCGTTTAAAGTTCATCAACGCAAAGGTCGAACTCTGCGTTAAAGTTTCGAACGCACAGTTCAGATCTGGCGTTTAAAGTTCATCAACGCAAAGGTCGAACTCTGCGTTAAAGTTTCGAACGCACAGTTCAGATCTGGCGTTTAAAGTTCATCAACGCAAAGGTCGAACTCTGCGTTAAAGTTTCGAACGCACAGTTCAGATCTGGCGTTTAAAGTTCATCAACGCAAAGGTCGAACTCTGCGTTAAAGTTTCGAACGCACAGTTCAGATCTGGCGTTTAAAGTTCATCAACGCAAAGGTCGAACTCTGCGTTAAAGTTTCGAACGCACAGTTCAGATCTGGCGTTTAAAGTTCATCAACGCAAAGGTCGAACTCTGCGTTAAAGTTTCGAACGCACAGTTCAGATCTGGCGTTTAAAGTTCATCAACGCAAAGGTCGAACTCTGCGTTAAAGTTTCGAACGCACAGTTCAGATCTGGCGTTTAAAGTTCATCAACGCAAAGGTCGAACTCTGCGTTAAAGTTTCGAACGCACAGTTCAGATCTGGCGTTTAAAGTTCATCAACGCAAAGGTCGAACTCTGCGTTAAAGTTTCGAACGCACAGTTCAGATCTGGCGTTTAAAGTTCATCAACGCAAAGGTCGAACTCTGCGTTAAAGTTTCGAACGCACAGTTCAGATCTGGCGTTTAAAGTTCATCAACGCAAAGGTCGAACTCTGCGTTAAAGTTTCGAACGCACAGTTCAGATCTGGCGTTTAAAGTTCATCAACGCAAAGGTCGAACTCTGCGTTAAAGTTTCGAACGCACAGTTCAGATCTGGCGTTTAAAGTTCATCAACGCAAAGGTCGAACTCTGCGTTAAAGTTTCGAACGCACAGTTCAGATCTGGCGTTTAAAGTTCATCAACGCAAAGGTCGAACTCTGCGTTAAAGTTTCGAACGCACAGTTCAGATCTGGCGTTTAAAGTTCATCAACGCAAAGGTCGAACTCTGCGTTAAAGTTTCGAACGCACAGTTCAGATCTGGCGTTTAAAGTTCATCAACGCAAAGGTCGAACTCTGCGTTAAAGTTTCGAACGCACAGTTCAGATCTGGCGTTTAAAGTTCATCAACGCAAAGGTCGAACTCTGCGTTAAAGTTTCGAACGCACAGTTCAGATCTGGCGTTTAAAGTTCATCAACGCAAAGGTCGAACTCTGCGTTAAAGTTTCGAACGCACAGTTCAGATCTGGCGTTTAAAGTTCATCAACGCAAAGGTCGAACTCTGCGTTAAAGTTTCGAACGCACAGTTCAGATCTGGCGTTTAAAGTTCATCAACGCAAAGGTCGAACTCTGCGTTAAAGTTTCGAACGCACAGTTCAGATCTGGCGTTTAAAGTTCATCAACGCAAAGGTCGAACTCTGCGTTAAAGTTTCGAACGCACAGTTCAGATCTGGCGTTTAAAGTTCATCAACGCAAAGGTCGAACTCTGCGTTAAAGTTTCGAACGCACAGTTCAGATCTGGCGTTTAAAGTTCATCAACGCAAAGGTCGAACTCTGCGTTAAAGTTTCGAACGCACAGTTCAGATCTGGCGTTTAAAGTTCATCAACGCAAAGGTCGAACTCTGCGTTAAAGTTTCGAACGCACAGTTCAGATCTGGCGTTTAAAGTTCATCAACGCAAAGGTCGAACTCTGCGTTAAAGTTTCGAACGCACAGTTCAGATCTGGCGT